CAGCAGGAAGCATTTGTGCAGCAGTGAGGTATTTGAAAATGGGCTGGCCTGCCCATCAGAAGAGTTATGTTGTGTAACTGCAGTAAATCCCTGCCCTATTTGCTATGTATCCGTGAGTTTATGGACACATTTCAAGGCTTTTGTTTGAACGTGAGGAATCTCTCCTAGCTGGAGCTCCGAATTAACTTTCTTCCTTTGCAGTGCTTTTGACCATGGGCGTGCATGGATATGCTTATATTTAAAGTTCCTGTGAGTGCATTCTTAGGGCTAGAATCAAGGAACAGAAATGTCAGGGGAAAAGCAATCCTTTGTTTCATGCTACTTTGGGCACAAAGACCCTACAAATGTCCACAACGGAGTCACGTTATTGCAGAAAGAATCCTCCAACAGTGTTAAGTCAAAACGACAGCATTATGCATCATAGGTGTGGAAAAAAAAAATTAAAAGTTAGTTGAAGTTTGGTTAGCTTGGAGCCCACTTACTATGTGGGATTATTAAAGCGTAGGCTCAGTGAGCACATGAATACATATGAAATACTGGAGAAGAATTAGTGTGAATTTTGTAGCAGGAAGTTGTATCTCACAAATCAACTGCAGTGTTATGCTGTCCTCAATAAGCATATTGTTAAGTTTCACCTAATCAGTGCAGGAGAGTTCAAAAAGTTTGATACAGCCCATGACCAAAGAAATCCTACTGAAAATTGCAATAGGAGGAGAGATTTTACCAGGAGCATAGGTGGTTTAGAATGGGGGAAAGAAGAATTATGGAAGTTCTGCTCTAGGGGAGGTTGGCAGCTGGAACCTGTCCTTATATTCATAAAAGATGTGTGAAAGGAGATTAATAGTAACACAATAACAGTGGAGAATTAGGCATATTCATGACAGCCAAATCTAAGGCTGACTACCCAAAGTTACAAAAGAATATTACTGTATTGAGTGAATGGGTGATAAATTGACAACTGAAATTTTAAATTAATATAATAATGGAAAGATTAACTAAAGTGATAAGAACAGAATGACAGGCTCTAGCCTTGCTGTTACCTCACTGAGAATAGATGTGGCATAGTTCTCTGGGAATATCATAAGCTCAGTGACCAATGTCAATGAAAGGGAAATAAAACAGCACTAATTATTTGGAAAGAAACAACATAAACCTCTTTATGTTTAATTTTACATATTCTCTGTAACCACAGGTACCTTCATGTATTAAAACCAGTTTGCAATTCTGTTAACCCATTTCATAGAAGGAGTAGTAGAAACAAAAATGGTACAAAAAAGCAACAAGAAAAGATTGTAGTTATGAAGACTAAGTGGAGCAGGATTCTTGAGCTTGGAAAAAAGGAGTGGTATGGTAGAGGTCTACACAATTGGTAATGATAAAGAGAAGATGAGTTGGGAAGGACTGCTTACTGTTTCTCATAATCCAAGTACCAGAATAATTAGACCACGGATATTAAAAGCAGTGCCACCTTTGGTGCAGAAAGTTGTAAAAAGCTTATTGTTGGAAGCTGGCAGGCTATATGACAGGAAGGAACATTCACTATTTTCTGATTTCTACTCTTGTTCTCTAAAAATCAGCTAGTTTCTACTGCTGAGGGCAGCAGACTATTGAGCTAGAAGAGCAAACTAGTTCTTACTGCTTCCTTAGGTAGTTCAGAGTACTTTCCTGGCTGACTGTGCTCAACTCCTCACAACATGTGGAGCAATATAACACCAACAAAGGATTGGGAAAACATGGAGGCCACTTTTCCCTGTGCAGCGGGATGGTGCAACCTTTGCTAGTCGAGTAACCAAGAACCTGCAGACAGATGTTTATGTTGGAAGCGTCCTTGGATGTGAAATTTCCCTCCTTGGTAGGCCACCTCAGAAGACAGAGGCCCAGCACATACTTTGGTCAGGGGTTTCTGTTACTGTGCATTGTTAATAAAATGTGCTAAATGTTCTTAATTTAGGTCAGGCATACTGATTACCTTAAGGGTGCCTGAACAATAAACAACAATGACCCTAACTGAGAAACTAATTAGCTTTGAAAATTTGGCTTTCTTAATCATCAAAGAAGATAGGATAAAGCGCATCTTTAATTTAGAGGATAATTATTATCAGTGGTCTGAAGCTTTACACATTACTCATTCCCACAGGAGGGTTGGATTGACTAAGACTCTAGAGCCTATAGCCTCATGCTTTTGCACTTCTCTTTTTCTCATAACAAAATGCAAGCATACTCTGAAATTTAGGATGAAATCTCTGATTTTGAAATTGCTTTCATTTAAACATTTGCCTAAATTTTAAGTTAGATCAGTTTTACATCTTTTCATTTTACAGAATAATAAAATGCACCTTCTCTACCTAAGCTAGCTTTTCTTGTTTGTGCTTAGTAATTATCATTATTATTCTTATATGAATAACCACTATTTGCCTAGCAAAAGGTGCACTTTTCATGATCTGAATGTACCTGTTGTCATCACAGCAGATCTTGATTTTTGTGTGCTTTTTTGAAACTGGGAAATAATCAGATATTTCATTGTGCTGTTTCAGACAAATGCTAGATAATTTCTCTCTTTGCCATTTAAATATATATACCTCCAGATCTTTATATAAAAAGATCTTTTTAGCAATTGATACATTGTATTAAATAGTTTTTGTTTTAATAAAATCAGTTTAAATAGAGATAATGAATGTTTAAATTAAATTGAAATAATTTATTTAATATTACATGGGTATATTCAACACCTGGATAAAAAAAAAGTCTCTTCAGGTGAAATTCCAGGAAGATAGTGGCTGCTCTGTCAGTTTATTCAGTCAGTTTATTTGGAAGTGAGGAACCAGAATATTGTAACTCTAAGTGACAATGAAGGAAATATTAAAGTTTTTCTTGCCATGTTCAGGCCAAAACCAAGAACAGAAGGAAGCAAGGAGCTCATGTTAAAAGTAGCTTCTTCAAAATTAGATCAAAAACTTGGTTCAAAACAAAAGAATTTAAGAGGAGGTGGTTGGTGATGAAGTGTCATAAACTAACCTAATGCAGAAAATTCAGCAGTAGGAGTCAAACTATATCTTGTAAATAAGAAATTCAGTGCAGATTTTTTGGTTGTTTAACAAGGTCCTCTAAATGCTGCTGTTTCCTCTTTTCTTTTGATGTGAGAAATGACGGAGAAAGATCTACCATAGGCAATACGATCTAGGCAGTCAAGTGGTAATTATGATAAGAACTAATGGTATTTATAACCAACTAATCTTCACAATTAACAAAGTATAAGTATTTGTTTTCTCACAGTGTACACACTCAGTCCTGAATTACAGGAAAAAGCATAAACAGCTTTCAGTGCGGAAACCCCTCACAGTAAAGGTTACTGTTGTTTCTCAGAAAATCTTAAGTCATTACTCAGGGGCATTTGAAAAGCAAGTGGAATCTTAAAAATTATTAGGAAAGGAAGAGAGGATGCAAAAGAGAAAACACAATCATGCCACTCTGTAAATCCACAGATTTACACTTTCAATACTGCATGCTGGTCCAGTCATCTCAGAAAACACCTACAGGAGTCAGAGAAGCTATCAAGAATGGAAATAAAAATGAGTAGTTTTCATATAATGAAATTAAATAATATCAGCAATGGAAGACAGTGGGTAGAAGGTCAGATGTGTGAGGAAAAGGACTATGACAGAGATTTGCAATGTAACAAGTGACATATAGAGAAAAGCAGAAAATGTTTAGTCACAGTTTCTTGCAAGCTGAGAATTCAGAATGTATCAAAGGAAATGATCAGGCAATAGAGATAAAACAATAACAAGCAAGCACTTTTATTTGTACAGTAAATAGTCAAATGGTGCCACTCAGTGCTGTCATATTACTGAGGACAGAGGCATAAATACGTCAGAAAGAGGATAAGAAAAAGATAACACAGGGTGTGCTCATCAGTGGTTGCTAGAAACACAGGTCTGAACCCTTGACTTTGGAAGTCCCCAAATACTGATTGGCAGAGTTGGAGAGTACACAGGGAAAAGATCATGCCACACATGCTTTGCTGCTTATACTTTTCCCCTAAACATCAATTACTGTCTGCTGTGAGAAATAGGATTAATTTAACGGACCTTCAACAGGACATGGTAAAGCAGTTTGATTTTATTCTCCTCTCGTAAAGTCTGTCTGTTGAATTTTCCTGGAGATCTAGCAGAGGTGAAAGTGTTAAGTTAATATGACACAAATGTGATTTCTTGCTTTTTAAAAAGTACATACAGCACATTTAACGTCTGGATTTAGTTCTGTATCATGCTTTCTTCTCTATTTTCCTAGTTACATATTAAAAAAATTATTTAAGAAAGTCGTATATCTAAATGGAAAAAATAATAAGATTGTAACAGAATGAAAATAGCTTGTTGAATATTTTTAAACAGGAAGTATTTAAGCAGAGTTGGGTATGGGTTAGAAAACTCTCTGAAACTATGAGAAAGATACATAGTAGTCTGAGTTATGGGAAATTTTATATTTCCTAGACACAGTTTTGACAAGAAAATGCTAACAGGTTACAGTAGTAATCAATCATACCATGATAGCAGCTCAAGTATTCTTGGAGACAATACCAGACAGATGTCTTTACTAAGTAAAAGAATGTAACTGCCATGTTACGTTTACTTTAAAAGCCATGAATCTTAATTTAAGCGCAGGAACTGAGCAGTGAGAAAAGTTCTTTGAAAAAGTAATCTTGGAATGAGTGAGCACAGATAGATTCAAAACTGCCACAGTAGGTTCAAGTGCAGGATAGACAAAGAGGCTGGTAATAATTAAAGCTTCAGATTTCAGGAGATCAAATTTTGAGGCTGTAAAGCAACTAAGAGGCAGCCATGGACTGCCATATGAAAGAGACATGGAATCCCGTGAAGAGAAAATTTCAATAGTCTGGGCTTGAGTTTCAAGCAGAAGTGTGTAGACAGGGAAGAACTATGGGCCTGCCTGGACCACTAAACACCTAGCACAGGACATTGTAGGTAATTGGGGAGTTTACTGAAATGAGAAGGTTATCGATTTGTAGGTCGGAAAGTACAAAAATACAGTGAGAATGGCAAAATATCTATCTGAGCTAGATCCTTCAAAGAAACTAAAGGAAATTATAAGAAGGTTTATAACCACAGTACTATAGAGATAATATGAAGGGGACAAGTGGGGCCATATCCTGAGGATCAGGTGGGGATTAAAGGACATCAGATGTCACAGACCTTAATACTTTGACCCAGTTTTAATAGAAGAAATTATGTATACGATTAAGGAAAGATTATCCAGCAAGGATAGGAAATGGAAATGATCATGTCCCTAGTGGATACAAAAATAAGCATGTATTGTGTCAAATCTGAACAGCCTGGATATTGTCCAGTAACAGTGACTTTAAAACAACCTGCAATTTTGGGAGTGGTACTTTATTTATTCCCATTAGAGAATAGTCAGTGTGATAGATGTATCTGAAAAGGAGAAGTGGGATATCCAAAACAATTCTTCATTTATCCTTAATACAATTTGCTATTGCAGATTTTAAAAGGAAGAGTAACCAAGAATGTGGAGTTTAAATAAGATAAATTCAATATGATTTTGGCAAAAGTAGTTTGTGTCATGTTATAGTATATCTTTCTTTGATATCCTTTAGATGGGATCAGTGCAGTCAATTTAATAATCTAGATTTAAGTAAAGCATTGATTCAAAGGAATTAAAATGAATATCAAAGGAAATGAAATGAAAGTGGGAATTAAAACAAGGACTATGGAATGATTAACATGATAGCTGAAGGGAAGACTACAGTGATATACATTGATAAGAGAGTTGTCCAGGTGGATGGAGGCTAGAAATTATATTTTCCAAGAACCAGTCTTGGAACAAGTTCTGCTTAGTATCATTATTCATGATACTGCTTTAAAAAATGTAGATTAATGTTTGCATTAATAATCCACAGTATGGATGATGCAACACATGAAAAATCCTGCCAGTGTTGATAGGAACAGGTGGGTCACACATTGTGAACTGGAATTACAGAAGTAGGATAAAATAGCATAGTAGAAAGTAATGCACATAGGGACTGAAGCCAGAATTTTTACTCTAAATTGAAAGCTTATAAACTGGATTTGGCACTCCAAGAGAGGGAACTGGATTTACTGGCAGATCACAGGAGTATCCTGTCTAGAATGACAGGGAGTCATTTTAAGATCATAAAAATAATTTTCAGTAAAGACTCAGGAATTTTAGTGTTACAGTGCATAGTATTTGCAAGATATTCTTTAAAATGTCACTCCAAGTTTTTATCATCCACACTTATAAAATAATATAAATTTGAACAGAGATAGAGAAAGTCTAATGTAATAATAGGAGAAGATATTTTAGAAAGTTTAAAAGTCTGTTTAAGCTATCAAAGTGGAAGTTTTAGAGGAGAGATGATTATTCTTTAAAATTCATCTGGATAATCATCAGAGCTGGAGAGATTTTTAGGCATAATAATCTTACAAAAGGCATCAGATGTATAAGGTCTGTAACTATTAAAAGAGTGAAACTCTGTAGGTGCTTTTCAAATGAAGTAAAACAGGCAATAACCCCTCATTGTTTAAATATGATGCTCGTGAAGTTTATGAAGTGTTTTACAGACTCATACTTGCTTTTAATATGCGAGCAATATTTGTTGCAGTGTCTTTTATTGAATTCAGTTTATCCCATGGATAGGGCATAATTTTTAACAGAAAATATTGATTCACTAACAAACTTCTTTTATAATGCTTTTGGTTTGATTATTCTCTATGTGGCAATGTAGTAACTGACGCAGTAGCGATAAAAGGAAGATAATAGAATAGCAATATTGTGATGTGGACAGGGTAGAACAAAGGGTAAGAGGATTTAATATCAAAGACCTAAATCTA